CCCACCTGATCTTTGCACAAACAACCGCGGGTCACAACACAGTTGTATGTATGTGTGAGTACACCGTAACTCACCCGGAAAGTATTAAACATTTGATAGAAGTAAATGCAACCCAGACACCCTCGCGTCCTTGTGTCTTTGGACAGATATTGCTTATAGCCTTTCGATTAGATAATAGATCTCGTTCATGCTCTCAGGAGTAGCAGTCCTCGCATGCTGTACTCTGTCTGCCTAGTCTAAGCACTGGTTTGCCGAAGTGGGGTCACATTGCTTTTTAAAAGCCGAGAATGGCAGTTTAGTTCATACTCCCAATAACCGTACACTTTTGTGCACCGGTTTTCGTTGGTGTCTTTTGTCTACCCATTTGGATGAAGCAGCAGGAGAAAGAAAGGAAATTTGAAGGTTAACTCGAAGATAAAAACGGAAAATTTCAGTAGACTAAGGTTGCAAAGAAGTAAAGAAGATGCACAAACACGCCACTCAGCCATATCAATCAGTGTCTATAACCGTTGATTACAATGATCCCGAGGTCCGAATTCGGGGAGCTTTACGCTATATATATATATATATTTCATGATAAGTAGTATGTCAATGACTGGACAAAATTTCCCGGTTTCGCGGTCCTTGCCGCTCGTCAGGGATGTGTCCGTGATGTCTCCACGCCGTGAGTTATAGCTGCTTTATTACTTCCCCACTTAAAGTGAGACTGGGGCCTGGACCGATCCGGTCTTTTAACAATATTCTGCACTTGGAAGATGCAAAGCGCAAACCGAACATGGTTAGGATAACTGAAAGCCAAATGCGAGAATGGGTTTCTGATGCAACAGATCACTTCATGCAGGTACCGAACTCCGTCGCGCGACCCGTGGTCCTAAGTACCAGAGCTCCTCTGCCAAAAAAAGTAATGTTATCCGATCGCGAAGGGGTTGGCCGAGATACCACTTCCTATCCGAGCGGATTTCTATGCCGACAGTATCTAAACTGTTTCCACTCCAATGCTCGAGGACTCCTCGGCAAATTTCCAGAGTTGAATTTACGTTTTATGTCTAGTCAGTGGGATGTTATTGCTGTTACAGAGATTGCAGACGACGCCAAAATCTGGAACACAGTAACAGTACCCGAGGGTTCTCTAACACTTCAGGAATCACTCAACGCAGCTTATCAATGGTCTAAGGAGAACCACATTGAGTTTAATGTTTCTAAATGCAAAGTCCTATCCGTACGCCACAAGATAAAATTCTCGTATTTCCTCGGGGATCAGCAGCTACCACACACTTCTAGTAAAAAGGACTTAGGTATTATTGTTCAAGGGGATTTAAGCTGCTCCATCAATTGTGCTAAGGCTTCGTCCGCTGCTGTGAAGAATATCGGCTTACTTCGGCGAGTCTTTGGCCGGTTTGAATCATCACTATTCTCACGTTTGCTATCAGCGTACATTCGACCCTACACAGAGTACGCCATCCAATCTTGGAGTCCATGGCTTCAACGGGATCACAAAGTGCTTGAGCGTCCACAAAGGATGGCCACCAAGATGGTCAAGGAATTGCATTACCTGACAAATGAGGGAGATTGCGATCTTTGGGACTATATTCTGCTCAGTGCCGCCGAACTCGAGGAGACTTGATTTTGACGAATCAAATACTGCAGAACCCAAACCATTCGTGTCAATTGCTGCTCATGTTATGGAACAATATATACCTAAGGGGACACCGTTCCAAGCTACTGATTCCAGTGTCGACTGGAATGCCGGCGCCAGTCTTTCGCGGTCGGAGTATGCAGATCTTGGATCGCCCTTCCATCTCATGTCGTTTGTGCACCCACTATTGAATCTTCCAAGCAGAGACCCGACGAAACCTTGGCACACCTCACATTCGTACACCATTAAAAGTATACACAAATTGACTGTAGCTTATATTCCCTATTATCTCCTACCCGGAACTCTAAGTGACTTGTTTTTCGGCCTGTAACGATTCATCTGTGTAAATATCCTATAGGGACAAGAGAAGCACGGGCTTGTAAGTTATTCCCATAATTAAACTTTGACTGCATTGGACTACACACCGATAGACACCGCCATCGTATATTAGTCGTGAAGTTCCTGATATACGTCAAATTACTCGTGTGTTTCAATATTGACAAATCCGTTTTCGTTTTTGGTATATTTAGTTGACCGCAATAAAAATAGATCCTCAGAAGAGTCCTAAGTTCTGAAGTTTTCATTCATCGATATTTGCCATCAGAGCGATGTTACCGGAACACCGTGGTTAAGCACTGGCTTTCTCTTTATTGAACATCTGTTGGTTATTCCGATATCACGTGATCTGGAGAATAATCGTATCTGTGGGTTGAATTCCCGGACGATTCGCAATAATACTGCATATGGTGGTTTGTTCTCAACATCTAAGGATGATATCAATGAACGCTTAATAAATCCATGCCCTGCAAATTACACTAAGACATCTCATACCAGTTCGCGGAACGTGTTCATTAATTCAAAAGAATATTGCGGTTTTTGTCTGGTGGACTTTGGCTACTATGACCCTGAATGATTTATCTTTGTTTACTTCGCTGTTTATTCCATGACCTCTTCTCTCCCCGAAATTACTGATTGAAGTATCAGTGCAACCGGGCGTTCCGGGCTGCAGTGCACACTGCCCGGTTCTTACCCTTTTCCAATCAATCTTTGACATGAATTGTGATGTAGACGAGTCATCGCAAACAATCTTGTTCGCTACTGTCTGTTTTTCTTGCGATGTGTGATGGTGGTACATTCGTATAAACCTGTAAATGTGGCTGAAGCGTTTTTTTAATTGTATTGTTCTCCCATAAGTCCCAATAAATATACGAATATCAACTACGCAGCCGAATAGCAGCACTTCACAGGTGTTTCCCTGATCTTTTCCGTGAAGATTTTCTGTGCTCGTTGGTTGATGAACTATATTTGCAGTGTTTTCTATTCCAAGTTGTATTTCAATGTACCCTATTGGTTTTAACGGTGGATCATCATCTAGGTCACTGCATTTTTCGGGCTGTTTGTGAATCGAATTACACGGCTTAGGTTGCAAATCTCGAACACCTTTTCGTTTGTTTGTGAGTCACATTTGTTCACCCAGATACCTCTCAGTTCGATGCTAGTTTTCTTGTCATGAGTAACCGCTAGCTATCCGAATTCGGCTATATCATTCGTTGTACTTATTGTTATTTATCTGTCTCAATTCACAGCCATTGAGAAGTGATCGGGAAAGGATTATGGACATGCATGCACAATTTCTATTGGTGAAATTTCTTCACGTTCAAAAAGGACTCCGAATTGTGGCAGACGAATTCCTGAGTATGCTAGCTAAAGAGTACGTTTATGGCCCGAGAACTTTTTAGTTGTATTATGAGTTTTACGGAGTCTCCCCCCTCCTCAATGTATCAATCTTCATCGATATGTTTCATTGTGAATCTCTTATGACATCAGTCTAAGTTACTTTTGATCTAACACTTAGGTATGGTAGTTTTCGTATATGCTTATTTTCTTCAATTTATACGTTTTTTCTTCGTCGTTTCTCCAGCTTCCCGCATATCATGTGGAGCGGGCGCGTGTTGTACACAATGCTTGATGTTACCCAACTGCTTTCACAGTCATTAGAAGTGGTAAGTGTTGTAGGCTTGCTTGTTTCGTCCTAATGTTTTGATGTCAGCACTGATGGAAACGACCATTTTGGGATTAGAGTTATTTTGATAGAAGAGTACATTGATTTTATTGGTTCGCCTGTGAACTGAATGGTTTTCCTTTGCCCCCGGATTTCTCTAACAATTCTTGGACGATTTGATGGCACTTTTGAAGTGGTGTACTTCTGACATCCGGCATTTTTCATCTCATCTAGTGACGACTCACTCGTTTCGTGAGATCTTTTCTATTGAAGTTAAGCAATTTTTGCACTATCTCATTCAATATGTGGCCCGATTCTCCGTTTCCATCAGTGATAGCTGGGTCTTCGTTAACTAGTGGCCTTGGCGTCACATGCTGAAAGTCTGGGACTTGTTTTCTGTTCCAAAACTGAGAACTTTTTGTCCTCCTTACGATTTGTATCTCTCCTTGATTGTGACGTTTATTCCTCCCACTGTTCATCTCACTAAGATTTTTTTTATAAAACGTCGACTATCAGTATTCGTCGTATCCTTTCAGTTTAACAACTTCAGTGAAATGGACGTTCATTTTCTTCACTAAATCTGTCGCGTTTTCTGTTCCCCAACTAGGACCCGAATGAGCCTGCTCCCGTGTACCAAGTCCCGGGAACTAATCTGGAATTGGTTATCACCGACGGTCTACAAGATCGTGAAGAAATGCTCAGTGATTTTGTCAAACGATGCAAAGGTATCATCGAGGTAGGGCTCCAATGGGCTCCGAGCCTCGTCCGATCCCATTTGGCTGAATATATGCTCCAATTGCCTCGTTCTTCGCCTGGAGCTTTTCATCACACGGGACTTGCATTGATCACAGAGTCTGTGCTAAACTTTGCCGGTTTCAATCGGACAGCTTCATGCCTCACGGTAAGTTATCTTCACTCGACTTGGACTTTCGAAACAACACGTCCATGCACAATCCTTAGTTACCCCGATCAACCACACGCTCATGAAGCGCCAGACACTATCTTTGTTCCCCAAAAGTCCCGCTGTTTTGTTTGATAAGTTCATGAATAGTTTTGTTGTTGTTTTGGTTGATCTGATGTCCTGTTGGACTTGTACCCATATGCAACCAGTGGCCAAAGCACGCAAAGCGCCAACCTTCATTGTTTTTTCTGCAAGAACGTCAGCATCGTGCGCTGCTGTACCATTTGGTCGCCAAAACCAAAGAAATCTCACTGCGAGTGTTAGATACCATTATCGAACTTTCAAAGCAATGAAGCGATGCTTCGATCCGCGACCTGTTGTACGTGTTGTAGCATTGCCAGTTTGACCTCAAACGGAGTTAAGCCGGATAATCGATTGAGATTGTGATACTTCAGCTAATTAGTTTTTGTTGTTTTGAGTGACCATTATTCGTCGCATACGGTTGAGCTTGTTGCCCCAATTTTCACGATATTTCCATAGATCTAAACTGTATATTACTTCATGAATAGGATATGTTTTTTCCGTCAGCGAAGTACGATTACGAGATTGGAATCTGTGGATCAGACGTCTACCTGTTTGCCGTAGAAGACCGTTCCTTTGATAGCTAACGAACGCCTTCCTCGATCAATGGCAGTTTACGACGAATGAACTGATAAAAGTTATCTCACTCTTCCATGTTCGGTACCTCTAGCTACTCCTTTGCTGAAATAGCCACCATAGATTTGGTTTTCCACTCACCATACAGATGAGCATTTCTACTCACTGGTCCGGACAACTGAATCCTAACATCTCTTCATCAAGCAAGTAGTCCCCAGTCAGAAATTCGCATATTATTTCACTTATCGATTCTTTTTCTATCTGCTCTCAGTTCAACGGGAGAGGAATTGAGATTGCAATTAGCTGGTATGTTCAATCACAGCTGTGATATAACGCTTAGTCCATAATTAGTGCTATTATTTTTTCAGGTGCCACTAGATATCGATGTACGTGGGACGACTGCGCAAAGTTTGTGCTGTCGAATACTGCCTCTCACTGCCATAATTACCACGGAGTAGTTGTGATGAAGTTGCATGCTTATCTTCATATTTGCTCCTCTTCTATGTCACTAAGAATTTTAAGGCAGGAAAGTGGTGTATTGATTTTTTCATTCGAAATCTTCACATGAAATTGTTCTGAAATCTATTAGAAGTATCCGAACAGTTTTCCCCGTCGCTTTGTGCAGATCTCCCAGTTTAGCTCAAAAGTGGTTGATCATATCGCCACACTTTTCTCGGTTTGGGTCAGAGACAATTCAGGGTGTTTATCTCGTTTAACGATCGTCATCGAATTATTTCGTGTCAAACGAACTCATAAGTGATTTCAGGGTCACAGTGACCATTGTTGGTTTAGCTTGTGGTATTCATTTTGTATGTGTGTATAAAAATATCTTCAGTACACGCAATCAGCTTCGTTCTAAATTGTGTTGCGAAGGCTATTTTTAGTTAGATAACTTTGTCGCGCTACCGGTTTCCTAGCTGCTTAAAATCTCCCTCCTGATTGGCTGATCGTGCTATTTCATGACAGTAGTTATTCAGTGACTTCTATCTAGACTCGGTTTTGCCCTTTCAGTTCGATCAAATCAGAGTTATGCCCAGGCCGAAAGTCGTGATAGTTTTCTTCTGCGCAGCGGGGCATGCCTGCATTCCTTTCATAGCTGCGCATTCATCCCACGTTTTCCAGTTTGTATTCCCCTCTCTCGCAGCAGCACTTTAAACATAGTATGCGGATGCCTCATGCAGTACCTTGAATACCTCTGGCGCCAAACCGGTTGATTCAAACAGTTAAAGGATCTATCCTGACTCCTATGTTGCAATCAATTTCACTTAACACTTATTTTATGAAATACGTCCGATCCTTATCAATGTTTAGACTTTATCAGTCATTCGTTACATAGATGCGAACCAATCCCAGGTAACTGCATTTTGTTAAGTATTGACAGAGACCTTTCTCCTCGGTGTGATGTTGTAAATATGCGTATTATTTCAGATTTGATGCAATAACAACTTCAATAACAGGTTTAGAAAGAAACGTGTGCTCATGACCGCAATAAATTTCGTCCGTGTAATTTTAAATTAATTCAAAACAACCTGATTTTTATGTGAAGGAAATGTTTGTGATAACCGACAAAGAGCAGTGCACAGCTGTTTCGACCTGTTTGGGACTCGTCAGCAGTGCCTCTTGGCAATCGAATGGGCTAAACCAAGCTCGATACTCTAAAGCTGATTAAGCCATTCGCACAACGTGATGACCGTCGACCGTGTAGCTCAGGTGTAAGGGTTTGAAGTCCCAACCCGAACGTTCGCGGTTGGGGTCCTGACCAGGACAAAAAAAGTCCGCTCTGCTGACGAGTCCCAAACAGGATGAAAGAGCTATCCAGTGCTCTTTGTCGGTTATTACAAACATTTCCATCACATGTAAATGCATGAACTTATGGGAAATAACGATCTCTTAAGGAGTGGAACCCACACCCAAGAGTACCTGGTGCCTCTTGACAATCGAATGGGCTAATCCAAGCTTGCTACTCTAAAACCTGATTTTTATTTCGTCATCTCTTACAATCAGTAGCCAGTGATGGAATACAATGGAACCTCTCCAGCGTGGTGAATTCTGCGTTGAATTTAAATGGTGACAAAAACCTTGGGTGGCGCTTTTCTGGCATGTGGAATGCGGTACTTAATATATTTGATTTTTTATGTTGGACCAGTTGTTTGAATGTTTGGTGAAACAAAGGAAGAGTAATAAGTCATTCTGAGATCCCGTATTATGACATGGCCCAGCTACTGCGCTAAGGCTATTGTATTCACAAACAAAAAGTGGAAGTTAAATTTTCTGAACCGGCTGTCCCGTGATGGAGGAGCTTGTCGCTCAGAGTGAGCAGTACATCAGTGCCTTCGCGATACATTTCTCGTCTAATAAAGGTAATTACTTATGAAAAAACAAAGATTTCATTCATAATTTTTTCTTTCATCGGTGAATAATATGTGTAATCCTTGAACTAACACGATAATTCGTGATTTCGTACTATTAGTTGAATCGTGGCACATCTGCTGCTCGCTCTTTCCTGCGTTTCGAACCTCTGTTAATTTTATCGCAGACCTAGTTCGGACAAGAAAAACCTGATGACTAAATCCAAGATTCATCCCTTGAGGAGGTAATCATAAAAGAGATATCCATACACCATCCTCAGTTTGCATGAAATTCAATTTTGTGCACGAGGCTATCCGCAACCGGTGCTTCTCAAATCATTATACGATCTTTAATCCTCAGATTTTCATTGGTATGTTGAAGCCGTCCGTCAGTTGGTTGCAGTTCAGATCAGTAGTACACTGCATTTTCCAGGATAATTAAACCGAAAATGCGAATATCATCTGTTGCAACAACCGAAACCAACGTCATCGATCAATGAGATAACACTGATGCAGTCAGAAATTCACTATTGAATTTATTCCCTTCTGTCTACCTCGTTTTGTGTTACTGTAGGTCTACTTTCTGTTCACTTGCTACTAATTTGCAGTGTGACGCAGGCGTACTGCAGTTGCGATTTGATGCAGCGTAACAGTGTGCTTCGTATTTTGTTAATGATGATGATTAGAAGGCCAACGTCCGCTAAGTAAACAGAGATGCGGGTTATCAGGTGTTAACTGGAATAATTGAACCGAGATACTGTGCATATTATACGAATTCCACAAGGAAAATCTTAGGGACCTGGTCTTCTCAGATCAATATATTTACGAACCTCCCGTGAAGCGTGGGACCGATCGTTATCTTGAAAAGGACAAATTTCCCAGAAAACTTTGAATTCGACATACATTTCTGTCATGACGGTGATGCGTTTCCCGCTGTTCGAACATGTCCTTGATTTCGCTTCATCGACAAAGCATTCCATGGTTTTTCACTGTTCAAATGATCCNTGCTTCCATAGCTCACTGAATACGATAAAAACTTCTGCAAAAATGATACGTGTCTCGATTTCAATTTCCTGACTAGAAATTTGGTACAAAAGATTCGAGTACATAATCTCGTTAAAGCTGACTCTTGTCTTCTGTACAATGGTTTATCAGCTCCGTGCTTAACTATCCGTATAACAATCAACGAACCGCTCTTATATGACTTTTGAAATGGCCTTTGAGGCTAGTTTCAATTAGACTTTCCTCTGTTAGTGAATTGTTATTCATCAAGAGATCATATCAAAATTGATGTGCCAATTATGCAAGAATTTCATTTTATCTTTTTGTGAAGCGATTATTATGGATAACGTTGTGACCGCAAGGATGGTTTCTGCCCAATAAGTGTAGTAATGAAGGTTTCTGAATTTGACGTAAAATAATTATTACCAAACTTGTAGTTCAATTATCGCATATAGACCCTGACACAACTCCACTCCCCACACGAGTAAGGTCACAGCTTTTCAGTTTCCAACATCCTAATCCGTTATCGACATCAGAGTGGTTTTCTAATTTCACATCACTAAACTACACTGTTTGTCAGTAAAATGATAGAGAACATATTTATTCTGGTGTGTACATAAGTGTACATAATGTACATAAATGATGCTTATTAGCCAGCGTGTGTCAACATTCTTTGAATTCGTCTTCACCGCGGAATGTATTGCATTCCAAACTTATCGGAGTCCACATTGCGTGCTAAGCAAACAAAGCCACAAAAAAACTGTATAGTGAGCAAATCTTTCCGCGGTTCATTCTTGAATGGAATACTGATAAGTTTTTCACAGTAAAGCAGGTGACTTTTTGTTGAAGTTGCAATCCAAACCTTCAAGTAACCTGATCCGCAAGACAGAGAAGCGGTATAGCCATTCCACGAAAAACTGTCAAACGCCAAAACACACGCAGTACTTATTGAATCCGTTGACCACTGCTAGAACCAGGAAGGTATGGGTGAAATTTGCACGCTCTTTGGTTCCTGGGGTTGGATTCTCCGTCAATCCCATGAGAAGAACCGCTCTGAGGTCCATCAAACGCTTATAGCCCTGAAAGTTGACCATTCACTCCGATGGGGCGAGTGATTAGGGCTTTCTCGGCAAAAGTTATCTGAGACATTCGGTCATTTAGAAACACTTAGCCAAATACAAAGAGGAAATAACTGATTGCACCTCACATTCGACCACACTGAGGTTTTTGGGGGTACGTCAAACGACAGAGTAGTGGCAGCCTTCTTAAAGTTTTTTGTATATTTTTGAGCCCTCCCGTTGGTGCTTTTATCCAGATCTCACGTTAGATAAATTGGTTTGATTCGCGGGAATCAATAATCCGTGTCCTTGAGATTAGCGATCCTACAGTTTTTCTAGTGATATTTTTTAGATTGGGCTGTATGATTCTTCTCAGCTAGCTGTAAACACGTCTGTTTTGCGTGCCTCCCACAATGAGATCTATGTTCCATCATGTTAACATTTGTATTATTTTACTATCACCACTCCATCTGAACTCTAATCTTATTCGTTCGAATTTCGTCCGTCGATTCCTTGAATCTCATATACAACTAATTTGGAATAAGACACACGAGAGCACCTAATCGTGTTACTCAATGTATGACCCTACGAGCAACATTGTAGTGCAGTAAACGCTCTCGATTGGGTTGAGGGAAAATAAATTGAGTTACTCATCACTAATTTTCCCAAGCCTTCGTTAATTTGGATTGTACAGGATATTATAAGGGGATCTATCGGAACCATGTGCTAATCAGCATTTTTCTTTTGCGTTTTGATAGTTTTGACGCATTCTTTTCTTGACATTGTCATCCATTTGGTTCAATTTGGAACGTATAACTGAATTTGCTTTTATTGACCTGCTAGAACTCTTTAGGTTTTTAGACAGGCATACTGTGGATCACGTTTTCAGTGTTGAAATTCTGTAATTTGATGTTGAGTGTTGTTTCGGGGGTTCGCTTTTGCTTTGAATTGTTAGTCTATAATCACTCTGATGTGCTTAATTGATCGTTATGAAGCAAATGCAAAATATTTTTCAACATAAGAGCGTTTTCTTCTGAAACTTGCTGACCGACAAACCCCTCTTTTTCCTTCTCTCATAGCCGGCCGCTTTGGAAAAACGTCCAAGTTGTGCGAAGCTAGATTCTTCCAGTTTCATGTTCAATCTGATTTTGCGCAATCGATTCCTTGGAGAGGTGAGTGTCGTTCACTGATCAGGCTACGTATGATAAACTTGTTTATCAGTTAGTAGCGTGATAAGTTAATCTATACAGGCTTTTCTTAGCACCTGTATCGAATCAAAACTATTATCACATGCTTGTTCTCCCCTGAAATTTGAGAAGTTTGAGATCGATCTTCGGGACTGATCTCCTGTAAAGAACATCAAATAATCGTGGCCGCGTGCTTACTCAAGCAGCTTATCGCCATAGATGTTGTATAT